GGTCTGATGAAAAAGATGTCCATCTTCCTCAAATATCAGAATTATTCCATTATTTCTGAGATGAAGGAAGTGGCCAACAGGAACATCCCATTTGAGTGCCTTGCTTGTACACATCTTTTCTGTTTTCATGGCACACACCTTTATTTTTCTAGTGCTGGGTATAACCAGCTTTATTTTGGCTTCTAGAATGTTAACAGCTTAATAGTTCCTGTGATTTTATTGTTATTCATAAAATGTTGTTATTTGCTGCCTTTTTATTTTTATATCACTTACATTTCAGCATTCTGATATAACAATACACAATCTCTCATAAAAAAACAGGCTAGTAATATTATGATAAATAAATAATACTAATTAGCTAATTGGTCTCACTGGAAATCTCTATCTGAAAGCTTTTGTATTTATTCAGAAAATTATAACCTACTTTTGACTTTACACTAGAGAGCTCTACAAGAACATAAAAAGAATATACTATAAAATCTTACATTTAGCAAAAATGCAGAAGCAATTTTTATTTTAAAATCTTATAATTTGTCCTCACTTTTGGGGGAAAAACCCTTTGAAAGTCAATAATATTTTGGACATTACTTTATACCCTGAAGAAACATCAGTAATTCTTACTTGACTGAGCTCAGTTGATTGTATTCCATGTGTCAAGGAAACGTAGTTTTCCAGAATAACTGGATTTGGTCTTATTATGTTAAGTTAGATCATTTTGGAATTTGTCTTTAATTATCATAGAAGGTGAGCCATATATACGTTTTATTTTTTTCCTCAAAAATAATATATTATGAAGGAAAAAAAATAAAGTGGGAATCTAAAACTGTAAGGTTTGGCCTTACTATGTAGATTTAATTTGTAAGCTAGATAATTTTGGAATTTGTCTTTAATTATCAAAGAAGGTGAGCCATTTATATGTTTGTTTCCCTTAAAATATAATATATTCTGAAGGAAAATAATAAAGTGGGAATCTAAAACTGTATAAGCATACATTTGAATATATTTTT